GCTCTTACATATTGTTCTAACCCATTTCTAATATTCTGTGTAGCCCATGAGCTGGCTTACCAGAGAGGATCTTAACCTGCGTCTGTCTGGAGTGGGAGCATTATGGCGACTCACTCACTCAGCTTCTTTTTCCCAGCATTCTCTCCTGTTTACTCCACCTACCTAATTTTCTGTCCTATGAGGGCCGAGGCAGTTTCTTTATTATTAGCCAATGAAAGCAACAGATAAGATACAAGACCCACCTCCATCAAAAAGCAAGCAGTCGAGCGAAGTTCCTAATGGCAGAGAGGGATGTGGGTGTTTTCCAAACAAGACGGCCACTCTGCTGGAGGAGACAGCAAGGTGAAAGGGGGAGGAGGGGGAGACGAGGATCAACTACGAATGAAGGTAGGAAGGTCTGGATGTAAACAGGCAATAGGCAGGCACACTGAGACAAACTGTGTTCTCCTAAAAGCTATGTTCAAAGGCTTGCCCTTGATATTGGTAAATGTGACCTGATTTAGGAACTGGATCTTTTCTAACACTGAGATGTTAAGATGGTATCCTCCACACCTGGTGGAGGTGGCTCAGGCCTTTAATCCCAGCACGCAGGAGGCAGAGGCAGGTGGATCTCTGTGAGTTGAAGGTCAGCCTGGTCTACAGAGTGAGTTCCAGAACAGGGTCCAAAGCTACAGAGAAACCCTGCCTTGAGAAACCAAAAGAAGAAAAAAGGTCTTTCTGTGATAGCATGGCCTCTCATCTACCAAATGGTCTTGTAAGAGGAGAGAAATTAGGATGCAGACATCCTCAGAGAAGAGACAGCCAAGTGAAGGCCAAACAGATATGCACCGGGAACACACTGTGAAAACAGGCAGATTGGGATGATGTATCCAGAAGCCAAGGAAGGCCAAGGATTGCTGATAACAGCCAGGACCAAGAAGAAACAGATCCTCCCTCGGAGCCTTGGGAAAGAACCAGGCCTGCACGACCTTAGCTTTGTTCTTTTGTGCATTGAGGACAGTAAAAGAAGTGTTTATTGTTTTAAGCCTCGCGGTTTGTTACAGCAACTCTGAGAAATAGACGCAGGGAACACGCAAGCGAGCAGTTCCGTGACTGCAGAAGGCCAGTCAAGAAGTGACCAGGGCCAGGATCCGGGTGAGTAATGATGGAGACACAGCAGTAAGAAACAGATTCTAGATTCACCGCGAAGGTACAGCCCAACAAACTATGCTGAGATATGAAATGTGGGCTATAACTAATGTTATTTATTATTGTCATTGCCTGTATTAATGTCTAGATACTTACGTATATGCATTATAGGCCTATAAGAGAACATATTATTCATTGCTGGGAGTATCTCAGGTTTGGGACTGTTGAAACTAGAGTTGGTTAATAGGCTAATCAAAAATACCTGCTTTGCTGTGTCCTACTTGGTAAAATGAGAAGATCAGGCTCCACTGAATGGTTTGTGATTCTATTATTATCAAATAAATGCCCTCTTGTCTCAGCACTGGGAAGGTTGCAGAGGATAGTAAACGGGTCTGTGATTTTCATATTCACCCAAGACGGTTGTGGTACTGAAAACTGAAATTTTCTCTCCTCGTGGTTTTTGACTGTTTGCCATTTGATACTTCTAGAACACGAAGGTGTGGGATATCACATTTCCAACAGACCTTCAGCAGACCCAGGTAATCTGTGTTGCTCTTTCTCCCAGGAATATAGCAGTCAGGTTAAATTGCTTTCAGAGACTTGCAGCTCCACCTGAAATAAGTTTGGCGTGATCACGATTCCACATCCTGTTTTCCACTGGTAAAGTTGTATTTTGATTTCAGGGTAGTAATGGAATTATGAAAAAGTTGCACTCTTACATGGGATTTGAAAATGATTCATTCAGGGGGGCTGGAGAGATGGCTCAGAGGTTAAGAGCATTGCCTGCTCTTCCAAAGGTCCTGAGTTCAATTCCCAGCAACCACATGGCAGCTCACAACCATCTGTAATGAGGTCTGGCGCCCTCCTCTGGCCTGCAGGCATGCACACAGACAGAATATTGTATACATAATAGATAGATAGATAGATAGATAGATAGATAGATAGATAGATAGATAGATAGATATTTTAAAAGAGGGCTTTCTTAAAAAGGAAATTATTTGTTCACTCTTCAGTCCACTCTTGCAAGTGAGATACAATTCCTCCCATTGCTCGAATGAGAAAGTTAAAGCACAGAGCAATCAAGAAAGACTTTTTCTTATATTAGTAATGGTTAGCATAGCACACAAAAGTAAGTGGAGCCCTTTTGAGATAATGAAAACCAGTGATAAAACCAGGGCAATTTGAAAATTTAGTATCAGGAAGCTTGTGGGATCCTACAGGCCACTTCTGTCAGGGTCTTCAATAAAACACACATTAACAGGAGACCTCCACTTCCTTCTCCCACCTCTCTCTCTTGTTGACTCTGGTTCTCAAGGAGGAAGAGGCAGCCTGAGAACTGCCCCTCCCCCCAGTGCAGCCGTGGCAGCTTCCAAACACCGGTTAGAGCTGGTTCTCAAGGTTTAAAATTTTGAAAGGCAGCTCTAAGTATTGTTCCCAAGTCACTCACTTGTTAGGTCTTGTTAAATTAGCTTGTCCCTTTGAAAAATGCATTTCAACCACTTTTCACTTGAGATTCCAAAGTCATAATTTCCTTTTCTCCCTCTTGGGTCCAAGAGAAGACCAACTTTCTGAAGAATTGCTGGTGCCCCCATATTCCTTAGTTATCGGTCCATTGTAGAACTTCTGGCTATGCCATTGTGCTGACCTGCAAGGGTGTGCATGGGGATAGGGATGGGGATATGATGCAACCCCCACATTATTAGCAACCCCAACTCCAACCTAGATCTTCCAAAGCAAAGTCTACATAGCATCATGCAACTAGCAAATGAAACCTAGGGATTAACCCTATGCAACAGTTACTCCATCCCTCCACAGTCAGTGATCACTTAGCCTTGAGCATCTCCCAGACCCATTCTAAAAGTCCTATGGTGGATGGGGTTTGCCTTACACTTTCTCGACCCTTCCTATTCTTACTTAGTGTCTTCTCCCTGCCTTCCTATTTCTTGCCTGGCTGAAGCCACCACCGTGGCCGCCCTATCGGGCATGCTCAGTGCTCTGGCTTGGCCTGGACTCCCATCCTTGTCTAGCAGTACTCAGCCTGCAGCGCCCGCCCGGTCCCTTCAGTGCCCGGGTCCCTTTAAATCCATCCGCCTGGTTGCTAGGCAACAGTGCGGCCCGCGCTGGAACTGCACTGCAGAGGCTCTGCCCCGGGCCAGCCTGGGCCAGGTCGCAGTGGCTAGCACTGAACAAGGGGCTGCCGCCTGTCGGTGGTGGCCGGTTTCGGGGAAGAGTGGACAGGGCTCTCCAGACCGCACCCGCACTTCCAGGTATGTCTGTGGAAGGGACATCCCGGGCGCCCCTGGCGCGCCCCTCTTTAACCCCCAACTCGCCCAGCAAGAAGGCAGAAAATCAAGGAAGTCCCAGCAGCAGGGTTTTTTGCTCTCTTGAGAGCCCAGGCTGGAGCTAGCGAGTGTTTGGGGGGGGGAAAAAAAAAGAAACAGGGCGTGGGAAAAGGGATTGTGGAAGGAGAAGTGGGGTCAAGCCTGTCCATTCAGCCGCCAGCTACAGGATCAGGACTGGGGAGGTGAAAAATGTCACCTGCAGTGGGGGCTCTAGCAACATCTCCTTCCTAGTCACCTTTTTTTTCCCCCGTAGAAGCAAGGGTGGCGGGAGTTTCAGTTAACCACTCACAGAGAAAAAAATTCCCCAAACTATGCATACAAAGAAACAGCTTGATCGCAAGAGTGTGACTCCCATAGTAATAAAGTCTCAGCCTTGGGAACTCAGGTGACTCCGTATCTTTTCTTCAAGAAGGAATAATTTCACACTAATAACAAAGAGTTGGGGCTGATAACCATACAGAGTACCCAGTTTTCAATGGCACCTTGTTTCTCTCACCATACTGGCCAAACAATAGAAAAGGACATGCCCAGGGAAGTGACCCCTTGACCCATAGGGCCCTGAAAGACGAAAGCAAAAAGCAAGATCACTTCTCTTTGTCGTGTCTTCACAAATTAACTGCGCTCCGAGGGAGGGAATCCAGGCCTAGGCTCCAGCCCTTTGCTACTGTGGCTGCTGTCTCTACCACCACTGTGGCTCATGTGGTCAACACTAATACAGTGCCACCGCGGTCCTTGTCCCTCCTGACATTTGTATTGCCTGAGGAAGGAGGATAGTGGCAGAAGAGTTGGGAAAATATATTGAAAACTTAAAAAAAGAAATTGCTTCTGTCTGGTCCCACACTGTGGATAGACCCATGGACATTCTAGGTGTAGAATGTGTGACTTTAAAGCACACTTCAGAGATGAGCACGGGTTTGGACCTTCTTGAAATTATATTTCCTGATTACGCTTCAGGGGGGTGGGGTGGGATGGACTGTTTTTTCCAGCTCAAGTTGGAGGAGACCAGTGACATCCGGTCTAAGACCTTGGACCTCAGGAAGGGTAAGTACAGTTCTGGCTGTTATCTCATCCTGGGAGTTGAGAAGCCCAGAGTCTTGCCCAACAGAAACCTTCAACTTTGTAACCTAATCATCAGTCACTGTCAGGACGCTTTCAAGCCGGCCTCATAAACATTCAAAAGAAAAGTGCCCCGAAGACTTCAGCTAAGCCAAACACAAACTTCAAGGCAAAAATTAAAACCCTGGCCCTAAAATGCCATCTAAAACACTTTGTAAGCTAGGAAGAAGACTATGGATTTTCTTTTCCTCAAAAAAAAAAAAAACATTCCGTTAAAATCAAGTGTTACCAGATACCAGGGTGAGCATGACGGTTGGCTCTGGGTCTGAATGCTCGCCCATGTTAAAGGAACATGACAGACAGGTACAAAGTGGAAAAATGAATTTCCTCATAGTTTGGCTTGAAAATTCTCAGGCTGTCCTCTAGCCAGCTTTACAACTTCTAGGAACGCCAGGAAATGTGCATATGTAGATTTAGCAGTGAGCCCGGCTTACTGGGATTGGGACAGTCCTGGTGTCAGGGGTCACAGTACTTGAGGTGGGCCATTTGCTATTAACCACCTGTGAAGTCGGTTCATCACCTCTGTTCTATGCCATAAGACTCTGCAGCTCCCCGCAGACAAGCCTTCAGCAGTTCAGAAAGATGAGCCCTAGGATAGGGAGGCTTTTCTCATCGCTTCCTGCCCCAACCTCTACTTAATCCTTTCTCAAGATTTCCCCTCGCTGTCTGCTTTCAGTAGCTAGTAAAACATAGAGATCCCCTTGGACGGCACGCAGTTCACTTGGATCTTCATTTTGTTATTAAGTGATTTCCTACAACTAGTAAAAGAGGGTGGGGAACGAGACGGTATCCTAGAGGAACTAGGTCAGAACTGTCTCTCTTTCCTGCCTGGAAGCAATGAAAATAGAAAAATGTTGCAATGCTTACTTTTTTTTTTTTTTTCCTGAGACAGAGTCTCACTCTTTAGCCCTGACTGGCCTTAACTCACTCTGTAGAGCAGGTTGGCCTCGAACTCACAGAGATCCGCCTTCCCCTGCCTCCTGTGTGCTGAGATTAAAAATGTGTGCCACCATGCCTAGCCGAGTAACATTTTCTTTTCCTATTTTGGCTGAGCAGTTTTCCCGAGGGTCGAAAGAGTGGAAACCACCAAAACTAAAGAGAGGGTGTTCTTTGGGCTAAAGGGGTCCTTTGTTTTCACCTAATGATCCCCGAAGGATGACTGAAAGCTGAGGCATTTTTTTAAAAGATTTATTCATTTTGTATGTATGGGTATTTTGTCTGCATGCACAGACATGTGCACCACGTGCATACTACCTAGTACGATGGATCCCCTGGGACTGGAATTGTGAGCTGCCTTGTGGGTGTTGGGAATTGAACCCAGGTCCTAGAGAGTAGCAGCCAGTGCTCTTAACTGTGGAGCCATCTCTCCAGCCCAGAAAGTCAGTTGAGGGAAGTTGAGGGGCCAAATAGTGACAGAAGTTGCTCAGCATGGGTGTGTGTGTGGGGGGGTGAACTTTACCAACCATCACTCCAAGTTTACATAACTTGAGGAGGGACCTCTGTGAGATGAGCGAAAGCCTCTGACATCCTCCCAAACTGCTTCCCAGTAACTCCCCACCTACCTATGCCAAGCCAAACAGCTGCGATCACAAAGAGACCTATGTTTAGAGAAAGAGAATTCTGAAAATTTGAAACCATTTCCTAATGTAAATGGGATAACACAAGCGAGGGACAAAAACCATATTGGGGTTGTGTCAGGAACTTTCCCAAAGCATATGATTTCAAATACAAATATTTTAGAAAACAAATAATTAAGTTTCCTGTGCACCTTAATGGAAGATTCCTCCCCTGGGCCTGACCTTGAACATGAAAGAGAAGTGGTTTTATTGATTTCTTCTTTCCCAGTAAACAGTAGCATATCATTTTCTGAAGCCTTACAAAAGTAGAAATACTTCCCCCTCGTATTTTCAGTTCAATGATAAATATGAGCATCTTAATAAATAATCACTCTCGGCTCTGTCCTCAACATTAATATTGTGTTGCCCCACATTAGTTTATTAATTCACTCTCAGTTTGTTTTGTCGGCAATTAGAAAACTCTTTTTTGTAGCTTTGTTTGTTTGTTTTTCAAGACAGGGTTTCTCTGTGTAACAGCCTTGGCTGTTCTAGAACTCACTGTGTAGATCAGGCTGGTTTTGAACTCACATCGATCCATCTGCCTCTGCCTCTCGAGGGCTGGGATGAAAGGCGTGCGCCACCACCATCAGCTTATATTATTTGTAGAATTCTCGACTTCAAGTGATACTACTCCAGAAGCTTCTCCACCTCTTAGTTCACTTCAGACATCTTTGACACAAATCTTCCGTACAGAGGTTAACATATGGAGAGGCGCTCGGGAAAGAAATCAGGCAATACCCTAGATGCATTTTCCAAGGAAGAGCTGCCATTAAGTAACGAATCGAATCATTTCGAAAATACATATATATAAAGTTGAGGCAAGCCATCCCTTACTGCACAAAAATGTCCCCACTCCTTTGCCAACACGAAATAGTCCCCAGTGGATAAATGGTAGGCATTTTCAGGTGGGACACTAGCTAGAATTATCAGAAGCTCATTATTAATCCATATCAGACGCAAACGTAGGTACAGTTGTATAATACAGCAGTGTCTTCCGAAGGCCTTCCAGGGAATAATTTTTGTAGACGACCTCAAATGTTATTTTTGTCGTGACTTCATTTTTTTCCCCATCTGCATTCTGACTGGATTCTTTGAATTTTTCATTTCTCTTGGGTCCTTCAAAGTTCAATGTATAGTTGAGTAGACACAGGAGCAAACGTGCACGCTGCCCAGCTGGAATGCTTGTACTTTCAGTAATGGTTTCCCGTACTGCTGAGGCAAATTACCTCGTGGAGTTGATTAGGAACAAAATGGCTGCCAGGCCAGGGAGGGGTGGGGGATGTCATTATTTTTAAAGCATATTCCTTGTCCTTGCTTAAAATCCTCCTGCCACATTTGCTCTGCAGTAAAAGCAAACAGCCCTGAAGACAGGGCTGCTGACAGCCCTCAGCTCTAAGGAAACGTGGGAACAAGTCCTGAAAGGCTGTCTTGCCAGTGAAAGAGAAAAGGGAGCATCTAGGAGACCCTTTGACCCTGCCCGCAGAAGCCTGGGGAGAGGAATGCCGGGGAGCCTTTCAGACCTTTCTTTCTCCCTTCCCCTCCCCCATCCAGCTTTTCTCTCTCCGCTTGTGGCTCCTTAAAGGCTAACCTAAGCTCTCCAGACAATGGAGTCTGTTCTTTCAGCCTACCGAATGACACCTAGAGGAGGAAGAAAAGGGGTTTTCAGAACAACCACTGACCTGGGAGACAGGATCTCAGTTTTATGACTACAGGCTACGTGGCCTTGCTCAGGTCACTCAGTTTCTCTGAGCACAGTTATTTAATCAATGAACTCTTCCAGGTCCTTGGATAGAATACTGGATTTCTACGATCCATTGAAAGATAAATCCATCTAGACACTCAGGAAATTCTACAGAGGCATGGGGAAGAAAAATAGGGTAAACTGAAAGAGAGAGAGAGAGAGAGAGAGAGAGAGAGAGAGAGAGAGAGAGAGAGCGCATCTGAGAAGCAATGTTAAACTTATTTTTTATTCTATGTGATTTTGTTTTTTTGGTTGCATATAAGTCTCTGTGAGGGTGTCAGAGCCCATGGAACTGAAGGTAGAAACAGCTGTGAGCTGTCATGTGGGTGCTGGGAATTGAACCCCGGGTCCTCTGGAAGAGCAGTCAGTACTGAGTCATCTCTCCAGCCCCCGCAACATTAAAATTATTAAGGAAGACTTTTTTTTTTAAAATATTTATTTATTTATTATGTATACAATATTCTGTCTGTGTGTATGCCTGCAGGCCAGAAGAGGGCACCAGACCCCATTACAGATGGTTGTGAGCCACCATGTGGTTGCTGGGAATTGAACTCAGGACCTTTGGAAGAGCAGGCAATGCTCTTAACCTCTGAGCCATCTCTCCAGCCCCTAAGGAAGACTTTTCTACATTAACTTTTATCCATACCCAGACCTCTGTCTTAGATGTTTCCCTGCTTGCGTGTCCAGGTATAAAGTGAGTGGCCTCTCCTTCACTAGCCACAGCTGGCCTCTTTCCCAACACATCCCACCGCTCTTGTCAGGCAGAATTAGGTGAAAACAGGCGGGCAGTAGTCAGTCATCTCTCTCTCTGTCTCTCTACCCCATGGCAAGCTTATTTTTTTTCCCAAAATTCTCTGGTAAAATTGTGATTTTTGAAAGATGTGGCAAACAAGCTAACCCTTCTCTCTTTCCTCTCGGATCAGTCCCTTCCCTCAGGCTTGTCGTCGCCTGTTTGAAGCACTCGTGTTCCTCTTTCTAAAAAGGAGAGAGCCCAAGCTTCTGACCATCATTCCATTCCAGGACAGGCATATCGTAGATGTTGGACTGTGACCAAGAGAATAAGAGAATAAAAGAATGTTTCTAGAGGGAAACCATGATTCTGGCGAATGTCCACCCTGAATTTCTTGTCTGGGTTTGTCACCCTGCTCTGGGATTGGACCCCCAGATTTGTTACATACTAAATAAACACTCTGTCACTGAGCTACACTCCAGCCCTGATTAACTAGCCTTTTGGGGGGTGCATTGTTTGTTTTTTGAGACGAGGATCTCATGAAGATCAGGCTGATCTCAAAGTCTATGTGTAGCCAAGACTGGCCTTGAACTCCTGGTCCTTGTGCCTGTACCTCCTGGGAATGCTAGGGTTATAAAGTGTGTGTTCCCTACCACACCAGCAGGAATTGCCCTTTAATGTTTATAAATTTAGATGCCGGTTGTGATTTTGTACACTAGGTTTTCACCTAAAAAATATACTCAGAGACTGCATAAGAAAAACACCTTTAATAGCATTAATATTTTCAATGGTTGATCTGGCAGCTCGTTATAAAATCGCTCTCCAAACAGAGAATTCTATATGCTTGGCAGGCTTTCCTAAAGGCAAAGTCTAAGACTGGACTAGCAGGAATTCATAGGTCAAAGCAGAAGGGCAGTTGGCAGAGTAACTCATGAGGAAGTCGGCCTGCTCCACTGGACCAGAAGCAGATCACGTTGCAGCAAGCCTTGAAGTTTCAATCACTTAAGGAGGGAACAAGCAGTAGTTCTGCCCGAGAGGACGAGGCACAAGGAAGGCACATCGAAGGAAAGGGTCTTACCAATATTTGCCTAGTAATCCCCAAATAACCTCTTTATTATTGTAAAGCAGTCTGTTTTCAGGCACACAGCTGCCTTACCACAGAATCGTCTACAAAGAATAACGAAATATTTCATTTACTGATTCTGTTTCATGGGATGGAAGAATTTTCAAGGTGCAGATGTTCACAGACCTTAGCTCTGTTAGCCCTTTTCATTTCCAAACGAGATCCAAGTCACTCTATTAGTTTGAGGCGAGCTGACCGTCAAATGTCCAGGCGCCTTTAGGTAAACCAGCCTTCTTCTTTCTCTGACTGGGCTAACCATGGAGATAATTTGGATTGGTTTTCAATTTTGTTTTTCAGGAAATCAAAGTGGTGCCCACCGAAATGGATGCTAGACGAAAGCACTGGAAAGACAATAAGTTGACTCCTTTTTTAAATGAGCATGGTGTCTTAGAAGATGCTGCTCCTCCTCTGTCTTTCTCCGAAGAAACATCTTCAAACAAATCCTGGAGGATGAGGAGAGTTTCTAACTTTCCCAGTAGAAATGCTCAAGAAGGAAATACATATACGAGGAAGGACTATTATTCCCAGATAGCGGAAAGAGACCAAGACCCCAATTTAAGAGAGACAAGGATGAACGCATCAAAGAATGCAGCAAACGCAAATTCTGTCTTCTGGGACTTTCTCGATCTGGACGGTGCTACCAAGGAAAGTTCTCACAGCAGGGAGAGCGCCTCTGCGTGGATTGAGAAGGAACTGTCGGCGGCAGCACAAGTCAGCAAGAAGAAATGGACCGAAACAATGCCTCCCAAACTCCGCCTGTACCTCCTGAAGGAAGAGCTGGGAGAACTTAACCTCAAATGCCGGGAGATCGAAGAGGATTTTGAAAATGCCGAAAAAGAACTTTTGAATTCTCGAAAGGAAGCCTCGAGGAGATATGTCAATTTTCAAGAAACAGGGACAGCTGCTTCAAAGAATGACTGTGAACTGCAAGCTTTAAAAAACGACCTGACTGAAAAAGCGACAAACGTAAAAAACTTAACCGAAGAGCTCCAGCAAGCCAAAGAAGTCATGTACAGGCTGAATCTAGAGAACAGAAACTTGAAAGACTCTGTCAGGAAACTGAAGCGTCAAACTGAACTCAGCACAGCGCTCCTCAGGGAAGAGATGAAGTTGTTTTATGAGCTGGAAATGGAAAAGATCCACGTAGAGCTGGGTGCCATCAAGAGTGAGCTGAGAGCTGAGAAGAGCCTGCGAGCGAAGAACAGCAGAGCCCTGGAGTTGCTTGGAAGACACGTGGCTTCTGTGGTAAGGTCATCGCGTACTGCTGACCACTTTACCGGGAATGATCTTTAAACATAAGGGGGGAAAAGCCTTTCCCTGGGCAAGCCATTGAGCCAAATCCATGTTTATCGTACTATGTCTTTGTGTCCTGCTAAACTGTATTTGATAGCTTACAGTCTTTGCGGTGAATCATGTTAACTTTGAAGCATCTGTGTTCTCTTTCGTTTTGAGAATCCGAATGGAAACTTCTGAAATCTATTTTATATGGGTGCCTATATAATATTACTAAAACAAAACAAGGACAAAAACCCAAACGGATTTACCAAATCATGGATGAACCCAAGTCATCAGCCTCATTGTATGATCTTGTTAGCCATGTCCTTGGCACATGAATGTTCTCCCATCTGTGGTAAGCAGTGTGAATAATAAAATCTTGTTTACACGTATCAGCATAAAACATGCCTGTGAGTTTTGTAGTTGCCTGGTCAAACTCAGCAGGACAAAAAAGGCATCTGCTTTCTTTGGGGTCTAACCTTAATTAGGCCCATGTAAACATCTCGGGAACACAGTCTCCCCTGCTGATTGCCCTGTGCTTTTTCCTTGGACTTGGACACAGTTCCCATAGACTACAAGATGATTAGAGTCCCTGTTCTGACATTTGCTTAAACAGAGCCTGCCTCAGCCATGGCTCCTGCATTTTCTTAGGCTGGCCAGCAAGGGGCGCTTTGTTTACATAGTTCTTCCTGAGTTCAGTCAGGGGGAATTCCCCAAGCTCCTTGCCTGTCTTCTGTCACTGAGCTAGTTCTGCTGTGGAAGGTGTTAGATGCCATCTAGACAAACTTCTAGTGTGCTGGCTTGATTTAGGTCATCACCCACCCCTGTAAGGGGCCTAGAAAGTGCCAATTGCTTTGTATCTACAAAGAGTGAAACTGTGCTGCTTGTGGCCTTCGTGGAAATAATGGCCTAGTTGAGTCTTTGTGCTGGTGGGTGTTGGCCATCAAGATTTCTGGCAATCAGACACTAACTTGCATGATATTTTTCGAGATTATAATATAATACCATCATTTCTTTTTCTCCCTCTAAACCCACTCGCATGGGCCCGTCTTGTTTTCTCTCAAATTCACGGCCTCTTTCTTCATTGTTATGACATACCCAGAAGCACATATGTACGTATGCACCTGCAGGCATATTCCTAAATATACCCTGCTTAGTCTGTTTAATGGTACTTGTGTGTATGTTTCAAATGCTTTGGGTCTTGGATAACCAGTTGGTTTGCTCTTCCCAGAAGAAGACCATTTCTCCCACTCTGAGCATCCTTAGTTTGCTATAGTTCTTTGTATAGAGCTAGGCCTCCTGAGCTTTCCCCAGTCCATCTTGGTTTGTCTATTCCTGTTGTCCTTGTTCGGCTCATGTTTAAGCAATCATGTTGGTGAGACTTTATGGGTGTAGATTCTAACATTCCTAGGAGACCCAGTCTCACAGAAAACTCCCCAATGCTCTGGCTCTTACAATCTTTCTGCCCCCTCTTGCAAAACGTGCCCTGAGCCTTGGGTTCGGGAGTAGTTTTCTAGATGTATCCGTTGAGACTGGGCTCCTTAACTCTGTGTTCAGATGGTGAGGAGTGCACTTCTCTGGCTCTAAGTACAAGCATTTAGAGTGCAGTTGGGGTCACACTGGTTTAGTAAAGGAGTGGTTGTAGGATCTTCTCTGAGACCTGTTACTTCACTAGCCATGGTGTTTTGTCAATGTGCTGTATATAAATGAGGGAATCTAAAGGAGTAAGTCACAAAACAATCCCACACCAGTTTGGAATTATGATTAATAAAATGGTTATTTATTTAAAGGGAAAAACTTACAGATCACCATCCTAGACAACAGCCCCCTGCATGACCGGAAAAGTGTCTGGTAGTCAGAAGCAGAGTCTGAAGCAAGAGGAAGCGCCAGGGGCTACCACAGCTTTTTTTAAGCCAGAGATACCACGCCCAAATGGGCTGATATCTTAAAGGCTATTGGCTGAAGGAGAGGAAGGAGCTCCCGCAGCAGGAATCTCTAATTATTTTAATAATTTTATTTGTATGGCTGGTTTGCTTGCACAAATATCTGTGCACCACATATGTACCTGGTGCCTATGGAAGACAGAAGAAGGCATTAAATCCCCTGAAACTGGGTTACAGACGTTGTGAGTCACCATGTGGGTACTGGAGATCAAACCCAGGTCCTCTGGAAGAGCAGCCAGTGCTTTTAACCTCAGCGCCATCTCTCTAGCCCCTTATTGGGGCATTTTTAAGCCCAAATGAATCAAATGTAATCACAGACTATGGGAGTGGGATGTAGTTAGAAAGGTGATAAACGCCCCAACTGGGAGTCAGGACACTCTGATTTCTACCATTTGCTTTCCCGTTGACTAAATCCTTCTAGATCTAAAAGCCCTGTTTTATATAAAATGAGAGAGCAGATGCTCTTCGGGGCCGACTATGGTGGCATGGGCTTGTAGTTCCATCAACGCAGAGGCAAGAACAGAAGGATCACTGCAGCATAGAGGTCCAGTGCCAACCCAATCATCCTATAAGAAACATTCCGTTCAGGTTTTAGGTAGTGACTTCAACTGAATTTTTATTCGAAAGTGTAACCAACTGTACCTGTGAGGAGGTGAAATTACTGAGGAATCAGACAATCAACTCTAATATTTTGGGGCTCCTGTACTTCGCACTCAAGGAAGTGTATGCAGGCTCTTTATGTTATTTCAACATTTCCAAACATTGTGCTGGTAGATCTGTGGAACAAGTAAAAGAGGTTGTTTCTCCTTTCTCTTCTTTTTATTTATTCATTAAGACCAGGGAAGGGAATGAATGTAAGCAAACTAAGCTGACCCAGAGGCTAGGCAAAGCTGCCTGGCCAGGGAAGATTGGATTCAGCTGGATGATATTAATGTTGGTGCTTTCTCACTTGGTTCTGATAAAGGTAATGCAGGCACTGGTAGCCTGCTTCAAAGCAAAGAAGATGCTTTGTGGCTTTAGCGGTCACTCTGGCTTCCCACCAAGGTCTACCTGCAAAAGGAAACTAGGAGTCCTGTGCCCTATTTGAATGTATTTAATCTTCCACACACCCTTAAAACTTCATTTGTCTTTGCCCTACAAAGATACTCATTCTTTAGTGATAGCATGCCGAACTGTCACACTGTGCTATACCACCAAGCTCCAGCATTCAATAGACTTCTGGTTTTGTATATGTGGTGCTAGGAATCAAACCCAAGGTCTTGTTTAGGCTAGGACAAGCACACTACCACTGAGTTAATGTGTTTCATTTACTGTGAATGTATTTCTTTTCCTTCCTTCCTTCCTTCCTTCCTTCCTTCCTTCCTTCCTTCCTTCCTTCCTTCCATTTTTTTCAAGACAGGGCCTCAGCTGGGCAGTGGTGGCACATGCCTTTAATCCCAGCAATTAAGAGGCAGAGGCAGGCAGATCTTTGTGAGTTCGAGGCCAGCCTGGTCTTCAAAGCCTGGTCTTCAAAAGCTAGTTCTAGGACTGGCTCCAAAGCTACAGAGAAACCCTGTCTCAAAAAACCAAAAGGCAAAGAGAGAGAGAGAGAGAGAGAGAGAGAGAGAGAGAGAGAGAGAGAGAGAGAGAGAGAGAGAGAGAGAAGAAAAAAAGACGGGGCCTCAGTGTGTAGCCCTTGTTGACTTCCAGCTCCAAATTCTTCTATCTTACTTTTCCAATTGCTAGTGAAATACACGAGTATTTTAAAAATGGGGGTGGCATGCTAGATCACTCATCACTTTAGTGTGTTGTGTGAAGAATTTGAAATCAACAATGGAACCACCAAATACCACCAAGTCCTTCATTCTTTCCCCCAGGAAACCTGGGTTGTCAGCATTATTGGAATGTGCTCCACTGAGGACTCTGGTTCTATAAAATTTTACTGAGCTTTTGTTATTATAGCTCCTTACTGATTTTAGAAATGTTTTAGTTGTATGTGTGTTGGTGGGTACATATGTGTGTGCATGCTGTGGAGACCACAGGTCAATAGTAATTGCCTTCTATCGGTCTCCAATGTTTTTTGAGACAGGGTCTCCCACTGAGCCTGGAGCTCACCAGCTGACTAGACTGACCTAGACCTTGACTTCCTCCTGTCTGTTCTTCTCAGTGCTGGGTTACAAGTATGAGCTGTTATGCCTAGCTTTGCGTTGGGCACTGGGACTCCAAACTCAGGCCCTCGTACTTGGGTAAGCTGAACCTTTGCTGCAGCCCCCAAACTTCATGTATTCTAAGGCATGCTTTCAAAAACCCTTGACTTTCCTGGATTTAGGATACAACTTCAAATTAACGGTGTGTCACACTAGAGTTGTTGGTATTTTTTCTAAGTCATTTTTGACATAGTGGTATATCTTCCAATCAGTGTGGTTTCAGATATGGTGTTATACAATATGTGCTAGATTGGGGATATGGGAATCAAAGGATTTATTAATACAACAAGTCTCTCTGACCTCAGGGCCCTTATTTGCATGATGAGCTAAAACCAAGCGCTAAGAGCTGTAGTAGCTTAGAGTACAGTTAGAGCCTAGAGGAGGATCGATGAATTCTGGCCCCGAGGCTAGGAAAGTGTTCAGAAAGGAGCTGGCAAAAGGACTTGCCCGTGGGGCAGGAGGCAGAGCCACTTCTAAAATGTAAATGTGCAGGCTTCATTTGCCTCAAAGAGGACTCTTGCCAGCAGTGAATTAAAAGGTCTTGGATGCTGTGCACCGCTTGATTTTCAAGTCCCACTTAAGTTCCTCTTCTGGAAACCCACTGTGACTTCCAAGTCCTGCTCCTTTCTGACCAGATCAAAGCATGACGTTCTCAGACCATCAACCCCGAGCTCCCTATGACAAAAGCAGAAAATAAACTCTGCCAGTACCAATGGACCTTTGGTGGAGTTCTTTTTCTCCTGGAAACAATCTGCCTAAGAAGCATCTGTGGTAATAGTGAGCAAACACCGTTGCCAGCAGTCTGGCTTCAAAGACAGGCATGAAAGAGAAACGCCACAGTTGGGCCTCTCTCCAAAGAAGCACCACAGACTGAACGTACAGGCTTCCCTTAGCCATTTTGCAAACCATAGGAACCTGGCAACTCGGGTTCCTCATCTTATAAGACAGGATCAGTGGTCTTGATGGAAGGATGAGCAGAGATCACAAAGAATCAGTACAAGTCCCCTTTGTTGTTACTCTGATCTTAACTGACAGTGGAAAACTGGCTAGGCCCATCTGTCTTCTCCTCCTTGTTATCCTTACGCTTCCTGTGACTGTGTTCTCTGGAGGGTACGCCAGTCGTCATCTGGTATATGTATCAGTGGTCTAGCTGTATGTTTGGGAAATCTAAAGCAATGACTGCTAGACAGCCTGTCTGGATACTTCCTGCAACTGAAACTTCTGGAGTCAGAATGTACCCAGCCCCTAGTGGAGGCTGCGGA